CTGTCTGTCTGTCTGTCTGTCTGTCTGTCTGTCTGTCTGTCTGTCTGTCTGTCTGGATGTCTGTCTGTCTGTCGCCTACGTGGACTACTTCTAGTCCAGACGTCAGGTAATGTTACTTACAAAAGCTGAAGCCAAGAGAGAATCCAGCAAGTTGCGAACATCCATATATATATATCTGGCAATGAAGCTCTTTTAAGTGCTTAAAATGTGGCAAACTCTTCTCTGCTTGAAACGTCCTCATTGGCCATTACAGACGCCACAAATCTTCTTCCATCTAAGTTAATCCTTATTTCTTCTATTCTTCCCTAACCCTATCCATGCGCCCTGGGGTCATTTTGTAACCTCGAGGTTGTATGCTTTACATTAGTGAATACTTCTAGCACGAAGATCTCGTTGAAACTTTCAGTATTTCTCAAAAAATCCTTTTGACAGACTGCTATGCAAAGCGTACGGATCGGATTAACGAGTAAATTTCGTCTTTGGAAAGTGGTGGCACAGAGTTCCCCACGTCAGTAATACGACGTACGGACAGGGTTAAGAAATATTCTCCTCCGTAGATACATCGGTCATCGTCGAGTGATGAAGTTAACGTTCATGCTGATCTTATACCGGTACGCCCTTATTCACATATTATGATAAGCCAGGTACTTCGTTTAGCCTAATAGTCATAGGATGGAGACAAAATATTAATGACAAAAATTTACAACTTTCTCTACGGATTCGAAACTCCAACTCTATGTGAATCAGTCAAGTTTGTTAACTACAGTCTTTATCGTTTGACCCATCCTCTACCGCCAGCCTCATTTTGCTTCTCAACAAGTTCGTTCATTATGGAAACAGTCTTGTCCTTAGACTTACACAAACCACTATTTCCCGCTGATAGTTTACTTTTTCTTCATACTGCCTGAATGCCATTGGTCGATCTTTTTCTCTCTACGTTTATATACTAATATCATATTATTATATGTAAACGTAGATCACAACGATGAAAATGGTCTGGTAGGGAAAGAGTTAAGTGATCGTGGGGGATCTCTTAGGACAGGGTCACTCCAAAACACGATAGCTATCAGCTAGGTAATAGGTAAGCTCTTAAACAATAACCTTGACCTTGACACAAGGGGTGGGTCACGTGGTGACTCACAATCTGCCCTAGGCGACCGCGGATAGAGACGTGTGTATCATGTTTTGTAGGTAAAGAGATGTATGGTCGTGCCCCGTGTGTATGTGTGTGTATGTGTGTGTGCGTGTGTGT